CTCCCTCCCAGCGCACCTATACCAGCTATTCGGTGTTCCTGATTGGCTGGGAGCTGGGAGGGAGCAAAAACGTGTACTGGCTGGGGTTCGCTGAGGACTGGGTTGAGAAACACTGCTGTAGTGCAAATCAGGGGTCTGTGTTTTAACTGGTACGCCCCCTGCTGCTGGAATAGGCAGCCCCTGTGTTAAGAATGCCTGACTTACAGACAAATCATATTTATGAACGGACAGGCATAAAGTCTATTATACTGACAATTGGGGTTAAACACAATGGGTACTAACAGCAAAGGTACACACTAATTTGTGATGCTTGTGAAAACATTGAGCGGCTTCAGGGGTTTGTTGACTCAAGGTACAGTACAGTACCATATGTAGTTCTTTTTTATTATTATTTATATTATGACTTACCGAGAAATTTGACTTAAAGACAGACTTAGGACTGGCTCTCATTCATAACCTGGAGACTGTAAGAGTTTTGAACATTTCGTCTGGGAGCTAAAGGTCAAGCAAATTCAGGTACAACCCTTGTTTAACACAGGCTTTAAGGTGCCGGCTAATTTTCTCAGAATCACATAACATCAAAGCCAAGGGATCTGCAGTCATTGTCTTGTTTCTAGTGTCAGCTCACGATGACAGCGTTCTGGGACTGTACACTGAATTTATCAAATTTATAATATATAAAATAGTAGTAAAAAGCCATGACTAGTGTTCTAAATGCACATACTCTCCATTGACAGACATTGTATAAACAAACTGTCTGCTTAACATCAAAACCTGGTTGTGCTGCTATATGCTAATTTAGCCACAGGGGGCGCCAAACAGAAGGGAACAGACTAAATGACATTCCAGGCCAGCTCACAGTTGACAAAGCTACCGGCCGTTCCCTGCGGCCCACATGTTTTGTTCCGCCTCCCCCCAGCATCTCATTTCGCAGAACCTGTCGAATTCTTTTTGAACGGTGACATTGGGCCGCGGGGAGATGGGCTGTATGACTCGGTGACCTAAATCTACATGGGGGCCTGCAGGATATCAGCCAAGCTATTACCCCCTGACAAGCGTCCACTGCCTACAGCTGAGGACCTCGCTACCAAGATGGAGCTCCTCAAAATTGGATTCGTCCAGCAAACCTTTTCCAGCAGAGACCCCACGGCACATGTCAGTCACGTACCAGGTTGGGGAGGAGGGAGAGGCTCTTCCGCAGACACATCACATCCTATTTGGGGGAGCACCAGCCCTTGGCCTTTCCCAAAACATCTCTCGCCCTTGTACCTTCTCAAAACAAAAGGCAAAAGTTATTACAGCCTCAGTGATGAGCTCATATCTCAAGGAGAAAAAACAAAGCAAAGCATGTAAACGAAAAACAAACAAAACGAAACAAGGCAGAGAGCAAGAAATATATCACAGCGATATACATTTAGATAAGCCGCCTTCTGTTCCGTCCTGATCCTGTTCGCCGCTTCGCACGCACGCCACGTATCGAGACGGGAGAGGCCGCAAATGGAGAGGCGTACCTCAGGGCCAGAGTTTGGAGGGAAGGTACACGAGATAAACCCAGAACCAGGCCAGAGGCCCTACAGAGAAAAGCAGGACCGTAGGACTGGCCTTAACTGCACACACTGCATCACAAACACCACAGGATATTTAAGGTCCCATCGATCAAGGGGTCCAACGAAAATCTCGATGCGCCTGGTTTCCCCATAGCAGGGGTAGGCGCTGTACTACATGAGCCTTGTGCTCCGGCTACTGGGCCGTCTGGGCAAATCAAGCCCTGCACCATTAAGCCCCACCTCAGAGTGGCGGGTATCTGAGAGCAGGCAGCCCTGCCAGGACACCAGGCAGGAGGGGGGGGGGAGGGGGCAGGAGCGGCTGTTCTTTGACCAAGCGGCTCGTGTGAGGAACACTGTAGAAGGAGCGGCACGGTGTTGAGGCACTCCAGAGCTCTATGAGGACTCGCCAAGGGATGAGAGAGAGAAAAGACCTGCAGGGACTCATTTCATAGCTGGATGGTTTCAGACAAAAAATATATAAATTAAAAATGAGGAAAAAACCTGTAATCTCTCTCTGTTTTTGTTTTGAATGCAGGCACTATTTTTCATCGCGAAATGCCATATTGCTGCCAGGATGCATGTAAACGCACATGCCAGACTCCCACCAAATTTGGGTTTCTATGGCAACACCACTTACATGGTCCCCTCCCAGTTGTGGTTAACCAACACGGTACTATACAGTCACTTTTAAAGTCAAATACACATTTTATGCAAAACACAGAAGATATCAGAGATAAAACTGCAAACACGACCAACACTATGACCCAGATCTGAATTTGTGAAGGACTATCTTAGAGGTATCTAACATACATCCATGTTTCAGCTATATATCCTGAGCAGGATTATGGGGGGTGGGGGGGGTGGCGCTTGTCCCAGGCAGCACAGGGCATAAGGCATAAGGGTACATCCTGGTTGAGATGCCAGTCTCTTGCAGGGCATAAACTTTTATACACTAAGGGCAATTTATAATATAAAATATAGCTCAGCTCAAAGTGATGCATCTTGTAAAGGCTGTGCCTGACGGCGCCGAATTCCACCCGCACTATTCCAAAAAAAAGTACTTAAATTCTTTATTTGTTTTTTGGGGGGGGGGGGGCATTCTGTAGGTTGGGTCTCAGAAGGTTGCAGGTTTAGTTGGTTCGGCAGAGTGATCCTACCATTGGGCGCCTGACCAAGGCCCTTAACCCCAATTGCTCCAGGGACTGGCTGACCCTGCGTTCTCCTCCGTGTTCCATGAGGTCACCTCCTGGGATGCTTTTCCAGCTGTCCTGAAGGAGGTCCCACATATGCTGAGCTCTCCTTGCCCACATTCCTTTCACTTTCTGGTTAAACTCCTCCACACCTGTTTCTGCTGTTTTTAGGTCAGGTGGCCAGGTGATGTCATGTGACCCAATCACTCTCCTTTGTAGGCTTGGCATGTCCAAACTTTCGACTGGTCAGTTCTCTTACCAGATGGATTCTGATATTATCATACTCCATACTTCCCCACCCTCACAAGCCACATCCACAAACATTAACATCATACAACTCTAAATGTTTTATAAGCACAATCATGAAGTAACGTGGGATCAGCGTGTTAAACATGGTGAGTTGGAGCATGGGGCTGTAAACTAAGCAAAGAAAACAGTCAAGAGACACAAATGCCTTAGAGTCCTGCAATATCAAGGAAAACTAAGGGCAAAATTATGTTTTATTTATTTGTGCAACTCTAAGGGGTTTATCTGTAAGGCTGTGCGTCAAGGGAACGCCGAGGATTTGATTACCTCCCCCCCATTGTAATTATCTAACGAAGTAAAAACAGTCTAGAAGTCACCCCAGAAATGAAGTTAAACATTTTTTGGGTTTGTCATCTACTGAACATCCTTGAACATCCTTTGCGTTTAACAGTTGGTATGAAGGAAAACTTGAGCAAAGATTTGTTTAACAAATGAAGATGTGAATCTCCGGGGAGACGGAGAACCGCATTTTCATCTTCTCGCCAATTTAGGCGAAACTCCAGCTGATTACCGGTTATGTGATCACTTTATGTGGAGGTTCGCGGAGAAAATCACAAAGTGGAAAATCACAGAGAATCTGGATGGGTTTCATGGTCAAGTGCGTCCAACCATGTTCCTCCCAAAGTTCTTGATCACCGTGTGAAAGGACGACATAGACTCTTACCTGGCGTTACTGATCTTCCTCGTATTCACCAAAAACCCACCTTTCTTTTTTGGACATTCCCACTACCCTGGGACCAGACTGGCCACCCTGCATCCATGGCAGCATGAGATCAGCAGCAGTCTAAACCAAGGGGGGGGGAGTTCGGTGGCTGGCGAGTGTAATGCCTTACAAATCATTCACAAGCTGGGTATCGCTGGGGAAAAAAGAAACCAGCGATGGTGACAAATCATTGGCCTTGGCCATAACTATCGAAGGCTGGTTATTCAAACGCCCTCAACACGACTTAACGCTCATGTTTACACAACTGCTGAAGACCGCACTTGAGGAACGCAGCCACCGACAGCTTACAGCCCGTCTGGAGACGGCGATCACCATGGTAGGATGGCCTTCCTGGTCCTGCTGTACACACTGATGTTCCCGCCGTTCACCCAGATATTCTGCACAGCATTCGAAATGAAACGATGCTTTATTTGCCATGAGCAGGTACATTGGAATTCTTTAGTTTCGACACATCCCACCATGCTGTCCTCTGAGACATAGGCAAGAAAATATACGAACGTAAGCGGAGTTTGGGGTCAGAGCACAGGTAGAGCATTTCAGTGGGTTAAGGGCCTCTTCTCAAGGAGATGTGACTATTCAGCAGAGGACTGGATTTTACTCACCACATACCATGGTAAGTGAACGCTTTTAACCAGCACTTACAGACCTTGACGATCATAAAATGTTAGGAAGGACAGCCTGGTCCATAGGCTGAGCAATTCAGAGGAGAACTTTCCACCCTCAGATGCCATCTAGGTGAAGGGCGTTTCCAGGTTGCCAAGATTCCTTAAACTAGCTGAACATCTGCTCAGTCAAACCAGCTGTGTGTGCCTGGCTTATGGGGGGGATGGGGAGAAGCCGAATTGGTCGCCATGGTGACTTGCCACAGTTTTACAGGATAACCGGTACTGAATACAGAAGGATTGCACGCAGGGATAAGCTGGAAGAATCGCTTGAAGGAGCATGTACAGATCTCAGCTCTAGGATTTGAGGGGCTGCTGAAGATGTGAAAGCAGCTTTGGCGAAAACACAGAAGCCGCACTTTCAAAGCTGCCTCCAGGGGTGTTACCTCCTGCGAGCCCCAAGCTCAAAAAGGATGCAGCAGTGGCCTCTAGTGGCTGTAGATGTGAATACAAAAATACAGGCAAGACAAACGGCTACAACCTGAAGACTGGGTGTCACCATCTAGTATAACTATGAAAACGGGGCTAACAGAACCCATAACATCTCTACACCAGAGTGTCACAAAGGCCATTCGTTCCATAATTTACACATTTATTGTTACACTGTCCAACATGCATACCACCACCTCATAAAATCATTGGTTTTTAGAATATACAATGACAAACTAAGCCTATACAGAGAATCCCCCCCAACCCCGCAGTCACACAAACAGGAACAACCTTATTTACAAAAGACAGTACTAGATGATTGAGTGGTCCCCAACCTATGACATCACTAGAACACCGGCCACGGCCACCAAATCACACACGGCTTTCGCCAGCCTCGGCGCCGGATGCTTCATTACTCCGGTGTTCAGTCTCAGAATGATTAAGCGACATACAACTGTGTTCTGCCAGTTATTGCTACTGTTTGTATGCTTAAAATGCTCGGTGCACCCTAACCATGTAAAAGCTTTTATGTATAGCCCTTAAAAAGCTAAATTGGCATGTAAACAAGGGAATTACAAAAAAAAGGACTTCAGGTTTCTGAAGGCGGCAGTAATATTTTACAGTCCCGCTCTAATAAATTACAGATTACACAAAGTTTGAGTAATCACTAATTAAAAAGATCGATTATTCACATTCAAACCAAAAAAATAATAAATTCTATATAGTATGCAAGATATTTTTAAATACATTTCCATCAAAAAAAAAATATTTTGACTGCTGACACTCATTAAAATGTAATACCATCCAAGATTACAAAACCAGATATTTTTTAATTCAAGGGAAAATCTGTTAAAAACATCTTGAAAGTCATAACTTTGCTAAAGTTATTAGTTCTCCTGTGAGTAAAGTTACATAAGAACCTAATTAGAGACTGAATGGGGGAATAAAGGAACAACCTTCATAATTGAGCTGATACTGGGTTGGTGGACGCTTACTGTAAATAACTTAATGTGCAAGCCCACCTGCTTCTCGTCGAATACTCCACAAGTCAGCTACAAAAAAAGTGCAATATCAAGGCCCAGCCTGGGGGAAGGCTGCACCTCGTAAGTAATACTGTCACTGGAGGACAGCACGTTGGCTTACAGCCCAGTCATACACCGCAGCTCCGACAGCATTAGCCTCTCATTACCGTCTTTGTCACAGCGCCCCCAGAGGCGGGAGTCCGGAACTGCATCCCCGAGGATGTTCTTCAGGTCGCTGAACGACAGACCTTGAGAGGTGTCAGCAGAGCTGCGGAAGAGGTCTTCAAGATCTGCGCATAGATGAAGAAGGCGAGTCAACAGAGGGCTGGCTGACGGGATGTGGACGAAGCCTGACAAGCCGCTTTCGGTATAGCTTAACGCTTCACGTGTTACAAAAAGGCGCCGTACCTGTAAATTCTGGGGTGGGGGCGGGGGGAGAGAATACCTTTTAAAGATGTTATCCCGGGCAAGGGGGCTAGCATGGGTTCGTTGCTTGACAGCTCTTTTTTAGAGATTCTCTGAGACAGAAATCTAGGTCTCCTGGTGGGCTGAAAAGGTCCTTTAGGAGAAGATGGGAGCAGAATTTAGGATGAATACATTTCAGTGATGTGCATGGCTGTAAACATCTGAAGATATCATGAGGGTATATAAATCCCCACAAACACTTTTAAAACGATCATCTTACCTTCAGTGGCATCAGTGACCACCATTTCGGCCTTCAACCGTCCTGCAGGGGGCGCCCCAGCAACTTCACCATTGTCTTCGCTGCCCAAACCCATTTTACTTCCATTCTGAGGCTGCGGTTCAGGCATCATCTGTAGAGACCCCGACCAGTGCATAAGGAATTAGCCGGGCACTGGACCATCCGAGTGCTGCCTAGTTGCCCCAGTATGGACACCTATCCCCACTCAACTCCCAGCCGCTCACCTCTGCCCCACTGAACAAGGGGCTAATAAATGTAAACATGAACGGTCTGCCTGATCTGAACCCCAGCAGTACTCTGTTACTGGACTTATGTGCTAATTACAGTTGGTCAACAATGATGCGCTTATGAATACCATTATGCTTGGCAAATCGTCAGATGACTAAGGAGGGGGACACAGGGCTTTGCCCATGCTGTTTACTGCAGGGATGGAGTGCTGTTGACTTCAGCTGGGGATATAGTCAGGTGGTGGTCACCTGAATTTCACTGATGTGCTGTCCTAAGAGGAAGTGGAGTCGGGAAGCTTAGAGGAGAACTTGCCCATCACATTCTTCTTTGGTAAGGCCCCATGAGTGGATGAGATTCGCCTTGAGCTCCTGAAAGCTCTTGTTGGGCTGTTTTGTCTGACACACCTCTTCAACATCGCATGGAGGTTGGGGACGCTGCCTTTGGATTGGCAGACTGGTGCGATGGTCCTAGTCTTTAGAAAAGGGGACTGGAGGACGTGTTCCAACTTCAAGGGCATAACACTCCTTAGCCTCCCTGGGAAGGTCTACGCCAGGGTACTGGAGAGGAGGGTTTGTCTATTGGTCCAGAGTATGTGGCTACAGCCCTTCTGCTAAGAGCCAGTCTGTTGGCTTCATCGAGCATGTAATGGGGCGGTTTTCAGCCAAGCGTGAAGCAGCTGGGAGGCGGTTTCACCCTTCTGACTCATCAGCAACTCCACGTGAGAAGCCATGGTTCTCGACCGGGAAAAAAGGGTAGAAAGCCCTGTCCAGGTTGGGGTCGAGTTACTGCCTCAAGCAGAATAGCAGCTTGGGGTCTTGATTACAAGTGAGGGAAGAATGGAGCAGCAGATTGACAGACGGATCAGTGCAGCGTCAGCAGTTATGTAGACGTTATACCCGTCTGTCTTAGTGACAAGACAGCTGAACCGGACTGAAAAAATGAGATCGCAGATACAAGCGGAGGAAGTGTCCATCCTTTGCAGAGTGTCTCAGTTCAGCCTTAGAGATAGACTCAGGCATCCTGGAGGGGCTCAAAATAGAGCCGCTGCTCCTCCGCATTGCAAGGAGTCAGCTGAGGCGATTCAGGCATCTGTATAAGATGCCTCACACACACCGCCCTGGTGAGGTGCTTCGGGCATGTCCAACTGGAAGGAGACTCCAGGGCAAACCCAGGAGAGATTATATCTCTTGGCTGGCTTGGGGGTGCCCGAATATGCCCCCAGAGCAGCTGGAGGAGGCGGCTGGGGAGAGGGAGCTCTGGGCGCCTCTGATCAGACTGCAGTCCCCATCATCCGAACAAGTGGTGGAAAATGGAAGGATGGAAATCAAAATACTTTTGTGGTAGTAGGTTCTAACGCTAGAAGACACCGACAGTATGGTTTGTTGATGAGTGTTCTCCTCTAACTGGCTTGCTCCTCATTCCAGGGAACGAGTTTGATGCTGTTGGAAAAGTTGCCAGCTGTCCCACTTTTTACAGGATTGCCCGTTTTGAAAAATAAAATACTGTGTCCTGTATTGAACTATAATTTGCCCCATATTTCTTGACCCCCGACTCAGTAAATTTTATCGTTCTTATATCATTTTGCCCTGCATTGCTGGGGGGCCCAAAGGAAAATGCAGTGAAATCTTCCAACCATCTGCGACACAAAGTGAAAGCGGGACGATCGGGGAAGCAAGTCCCCAACACCGGCCTGCGAGCCACCGGGCTGTTGACAAAACAAAGAAAAAGAAACTCTTCCGGAAGCAGAGAAGCGGTGTTTGTGTGGCGGTACTCACAGTCCGGCGGGATGGCGGCGTGACATTGAGGAGGAGGAAGCTGCTCTCCAGGAAGGAGACTTTCTGGGTGAGGCTGCTGATGGCTGCGCTCAGATTTCGGATCCGCTCGTCGCCGTGCGAGATGATCAGCGTGCCGTTAGACTCACTCAAGGCATCCTGTAAAGATACCACCTCCTTAAACCAATCGGCGACACACCACAGCGCCATTTCCCTTATCTCCAGATTTCTCCGCCACCCATATTCTTTCGTACTTGCATTTATTAGCAATGCATCAAAATTGCACAAATCGAACGCCTAAAGAACTCGATGTGGTGTTGACATTAATCTACCGGTGCTTTCAGACGGTCAGTTCATTTACACTGCTTTGTAACCGTACCTGATTCAGAGGTACACAGGGCGTACAGCTGCCATTCACCTTTTCTGTGGAGGACGACGAGGATTTGGCATCTTCTGTATGCTGGTTTTCAACCTTGTAAACGAGACGAGAGTTCTGCATTTGTTCCGAAAACGACGGAGACCGGCAAAAGCCAGAGGGCCGTAGGTTTTAATCTGGTCGACTAAACAAACCAATATTTATCTACGACATGCCTCAGAGGTTTACTGCTGTTGGAGGGAAAGAAAGGACATCAATGACTGGCTTCAAACCAAATAACCATGTCAAAAAAAAAAAATGACTGGATCTGGACTGGACCTATAACCCACAAACATGGACATGGTCTGCAAAAAAATGACAGCGACGATGAAATTTGCACAGCTCGATTTGTTGAATCAGAACTGAAAACAGCAGAATCTCTTCAGATACAAGCCTGTGCATTAAATCTAGATGTAAGAAAGACTTTTTCCACTCACTCAAGGGTCTGAAAACAGAGGCAACAAGAAACTAGATATAACAAGAATCCTTTTACCGTGGACAAGGTGCCTTATAAATAATTCCTGATGAATTCCTGACTGATGTTGAGCCCTAATAAGGCTTTGAGATGCAAGAATGCAGCCAATCAGGGATCATCAGGGGGCAGGATGGTGTGTACGCCACGCCTCCGTTTCGAAGGGTGCAGATCAGGGGTGGCCAATCTTATCCGCAAAGGGCCGGTGTGTATGCGGGTTTTCGCTGCAACTCCCTAATTAGATTACTAATTAGAGGACTGATTGGCTGAAGAGTCTTCACACCTGGGTTTGAACAGCTGACCTACAGGTTATCCCAAAAACCTGCATACACACCGGCCCTTTGCGGATAAGATTGGCCACCCCTGGTGTAGATGAACCTGTGGCATTTCATATGTCCGATAACCCAACAAAAATACTGGGATTATGTGCACTTGAATGCGACAGCTAGAGCAGGCAAAGACGCTGACTAGTGAGCCGATTCATTCACACCTTGCAGGGGAGAAAAGACATGGAGGCGGGGAAAGGGAAAAATAATAAAATAGACTGGAGGAACTTTCTGCATGCATGCAATTTTCTCTTTGCAAATGGTTTCCGAGTGCTCAGGCCTTTCCCGATTCTTCAGTGCGAGGTCTCTGCAAAGTGCTGCGTGAGGGCCGTTTCATTCAGGTCGCTTGCGTTTCTATCAGTGCCGAGTGGTTACAGTTACAGGCCCACCCTGGGTGAACTCCGTGTCATACTTAACAACACACTGCTGAGGGATTTCCCACATTGCCTCAGTGATCATCATTTAACCAACTGGAGGAAAGGAGAGGGCACTTAGGGGTAATTCACAGAGGGTTATGCAAGGCCTGAAAGGTCAGCGGCAATACATGGATTTATTTAACTTCTTTGGGCTAGAAGACTGAGATTATATTACAGGTTAAACGCCATCAGCGTTTCATATTATTATTACTGCCAAACAACACCAGCCATTAAGCGCTGCTGTGTTTATTGCATTAATAAGCACGGTGGTGGCCATTTCTCATGCGATTTAATGGTGTACGCAACAGCACTGCAAATGCAGCCTGCATTACCGACACACAACACACTGCGCGACACGGCAGGCCTCTACAGAAATCCACACTGCATCTGAAAGAGCTGTGTGGGCTTTACCATGGCATTCTTCAGATCGTCCACCGCTTTGCGATGATCCTCCACTGCAGTCTGAACGGTCCTCACGTCATGCTGCACGCTTGTCAGTGTGCTCCCAATCGTAGCCACACTCTGCAGTGAAATGGAACACAACCAAGCATTTCATTCTCTGTTATACCCAGAGCCATCTGTTACACTCAGTGGACACTAGATGTCACTGTAGGATAACCAAAGCACACCTGAATCTTATACATCGATCAAGTGGAGGGGAGGGGGGAATCTGAGAATATTCATAATTTTAATATACAGCAAGAGGATCATTATGAAATTCACCTTCTGAAGTTCTTCCACCGTAGTTGGGAGGCTGATTAAATCTGAGGCAGATTTAATGTTGGTTTTCAGGTGGTTGACTGCGGAGTCCAGCAGATTGATCTAAAATGAGACAATCGATAATCCTGACTTTGCGACTCACTGACACACGTCTTTCACTGATCTGACATCAGTTTCATGACAAAGAGACTCAGGACATCAGACATAATCCCTGACACCCAGTACCACACAGCCAGGGAACAGGGGGATTTGAAGAGAGACATCCTTTCAACAAACCTTTCGATTTATTTCTGTCAGATTCGACCACAGCTTGTTGAGGCCCCGATCGCCGTTTTCTAGCAGCTCGAGTTTTTTTAATTCCTCTTTTAGATCGTCGCTCAGTTTCGGTATTTCATGTGATGATGCAGACTGGCTGGCTTCCACTGCGGAACAAAACAAAAATAAGAACCTGTCCATCCTGTTCACCTTTCAGACGGGCATCACTGCCATCACAGAGGCCTCACAATGATGCAGGCACCTGCCTGAGATATACTTACAGCTTCTTATGGTGAAAATAAAGACAAAAAAAGTCAAAAGTGAAAATTGCATTTGCACTTTTAGAAAAGGATCCCAGGTAGACCTTTATGCTATATTACACAATGCTTACACTATAATCTCCACCAACCTTTTTTACATTCATTTATAAACTATATGGGCAAAAGTGTGTGGGACCCTCACCAATTAGAGGAGCCGCCTGATAAAGCTACAAACATTGCATGCACAGGTGTATAACTAAGCACACAGTACCACACACATTAACAGCAGAATGGGTTTTTTATACAGGAGAGCTTAGTGACTTCCCACTTGGCACCACCATAGGACACCATCTTTCCAACAAGTCAGTTTGCCGTATTTCCGCCCTGCTTATCTGTATTGGTCAACTGCAAGTGATGTGATTGGATAAAGTCAAAACGCCTGGGAGCAAATTTAGCTGCAGAGTGGTGCGTCACACACTGACAGAATGGGACCTGATAACCTCACATCAATACCCAACCTGAATGGCAGCAAATCCCTCCAGCAATGTTTCGATATCCAATGTTCCAAGGTGCCAACCATCTTCATCCTAATACTCTTGGTTTTAATATCTACATACTTATGGTATATTATACATCTCATATGGTTCAGTTCTACTGTCCTTGCCCAATAACAACCCAATTGTGCTACTTAACATCAGAAAGCTACAGTCACCAATAATTACTGTTATAAAATGGTTATGCATAAACAACATATATCTGGCTCTTCGGCCCCAATGCAAACCTGTAAGGTGTATGCTGGGCTGGAAATTAAGCTTGTCCATTCATCCAAAGCAAGTGAACTCAGACAAAGACGAGTACAAAGTGAACACAAGCTAGTTTTAAAATAATTAATTTTTAAAAAAATTGCATGTTGACTTTTTACTGAACTAGCTAGTAAAATGCATCTCCGCATCCCCTCCCCTCCCACCTGGGCTGTATGTAAACCCATTTAAGCTGTGCATCACGTTTCCAACCGCGTATCTGAGCGCCACACATGCCAAAGCAGAAAAACGACTCAATTCTAATGATCGCTCCCCCCGCCCTGCGGGATCGACGTGTGGCACCTACTAGCGTGCAGCTTCTCCTTCAGTGTGTCCAAGTCCTCCTTCAGGGCGATCTGCATCCAGATCAAGCCGGCGCAGGCCATCACGCAGGCCACAAGGACGATGAAAGCGCACAGCGGGAAGCAGATGCTGCAGCACTGTGTGTAGCTTCTTCTGATGGCGAGCATACACGCAGACACACACAAACAGAGAGTGAGATTTTAACCCACCGCGACACCTGAAGCGAACTGCGATTTTCAGGGTGATCTGGCCCGAATGCATTTAATCATCATCGCTTAACAGCTCTAGTGTGTTTCCCATGGGGCAGGCTGAACCAGAGCCAATGTTAAACGGACGCAAAAGTGTTGGATGCTGCTGTGGATGCTCCTGTCCGGTTACTCACTTGCCGAAAGCCGAAACGCCGCCGGTGCTGTTGAATTCATCGTCGTCCGAGCTGGACTCAGAGTCCGACCCGGGTGGCTCGGTGCGCAGCAGCCGGTGGCCGGAGCACTTCTTGGTCTTCTTGCGCTTGCCGTCGCCACCAAGACCAATCAAGGCGTTCAGCTCCTTTCGTTTCTTCATCTTTTTCTGCGGGGTCAGAGCCCCGGCCGAGCCCGGCTTGTATCCGACGATGTCCGACGTCTTGTCCAGTTTTGTCGCCTCTGCGCGGATCTAGGCTTCGCACCTAACGTGGGCGGGGTGGGGCGGGCCGGCTGCACCGCAGCTCTCCCGAAATCAACCTCGTCTCACTGTTCACTTCCCGTTTTTTTTTTTTTTTACACCTTATCACGCATGTTTTGCTGGTGGTGCAGCGATTTTCCTGTCTATGACTTAATGATAGTGGGGAAGGGGATCGATACCTACCCAAAAAATCTCAAAACTTACCTCTCAACTCCACATTTCAAACCATATGTCTATTTTTAAAACATATTATTACCAAATACTACTTACGGGGCGAATTTTGGACAGAATTTAACGCCGATATACGAGATGCCGACATACAGTGGTGTTTCCTGACCAGCTGACAGGCCAAACTGCCAATAAGGCGCCTCCTGATTGGCGGGTTACCGCCTATAAGTCGCGCCGCCATTGGCCAACGCTTCGGGCTTTAACAGTACGTGAAGCAGCAGAGAGCGGGGCTGAGGGGAGCCGAGCGCTCGGTGTTCCCAGTGCGCCTGCAGCGCATCCCTATCCGGAGCAGCATCGCCCGGCGCACTGGCGCAACTCTTTCAACACTTTCAAAGAGTGTGTGAGAGATCCGGAGTTATTTATCCACTTTTATTTCAAACGCCAAGTTCACCAAAGCGAAGACGCCGATTTTACGTGGAGCCCCGTTGTGTATTATTAGCAAACAGAACAATATGATGATTGCCGATTGATCAACGTTTTAAATTCTGTTTTTACAAAACATGAAATGTATGAGAATTTTAAATAATATTGTCGATATTTTTCTTACTGCAACAACTGTCATTTTAGTTTAAAACTCGTTATCAAAGATAGCACACAATAGACTTTCACAATACTGCTTCTTTTTTGGTCGAAAGTATTCTGACAATGAAGCAGAGCTGCTACTGAAAGGCAGGTGAGTAAAATTTTGAATTTTCTGTATAATCACCATTATAGGTGTCCTGTGTATGTGTCCTGAGGTGAACTACACTCGTCGTTAACCTAATTGGGATGTGTGCTTATCATAATTGATTGCCGCTGTAGTTTAAACGCAAAAACAATAACTATTATTACTATTATTGTTCTATCTATCTAATCTATCTATCATCTGCCTTATATTTAAATAAATGTTCAGCTTTTAACAGACCAACAGGTCTCAGAGGAAACTACAAGAGCTGCCACAATGTGGCGCTGATGCTCCTCTTCGCGCTATATGCCTTTGTCCATGGGTTTTAACTTATGGCATTGTGTTACAATCGAGTACGGAGCAGTTATTGTACTTTAAAATACCCTGTTTGGTTTTCATAGTGACGATGAAGACATTTCCGATGGGCTCCATTCTGTTAGCTGTGTTATATCTTGGGTCATGTCTGTTAAATCTAATTAATTGAACCGAAGATGTAAATTTTCCACATTGATTTGTAAGAATAAGTTTTTGTAAGATGTTGAGTATCGTTTTTTGAGTATATAAAGCACTAAATTAACTGATTCTTTGGTCCAGGAGGAGCCAAGTAAAGGAGTCTAAAACAAGTGAACTGATAAAAACTAGTACATCAATAGTGATATTTATCTGTAGTGAATTATCATTATTTTCTAATTTAAATTCCATTTTGAGCTGGCAATTTATTTACATTTTTGAACTCCAGCATAAATATATCTAAGTAATCCAGCCCTAAAATTACACACACACACACACACACACACACACACACACACACACAAATCTAATTATGAGTCAGGTATTTAGGATAACTGAAATTGTGGTGTAATAGCTGGATATGTACAAAATGCAATTAATTTTGAAAGTTTAACCTTTGAAGAAAAAATAAAATATATCACTATTTTATGAAGAATTTATGGACTGAGTATTAAAGTACCAAAGAACTAAGTATTAGAATAATTAAATAGTCCCAGAGTCCCAGTTCTGGATTTTTGTAAAATCCACAGCCCTGCTAATGCCCGTTGATTCATTGCTTTATATCTTCGTATTATGTATTCTTATATTCTTAGGACTAGGAACCAGAAGAGAACCTCTCAGCGATAATGACTGAATGCATCTTTGTTGCCAAATTCTGCACAATGACCAATGCAATTACTTTTATTTTGGAATCACAAATTCTCAATGATCACAATAATTACATTTTGAAGTGATGTTTGATTTTTTTTGTGTGTTTGAGAAAAATACTTCTAGGTTCTGCCTTTTGGACAATGCTCGGGCAACCAACAGGGGGCAATGTTGCTATATTATTGGGTTGAGCCATTTTACTTGTGCCTTTTGGGTGGGGGGGGGGTGCAAGACATGCTGCCATAAATAACCAATGAATTCATCACAAGGTGGACTTTTCATCTGAGAAATCATTACTAATGAAGTAAAATTGCAGCATACAGTAAGCAATTTGTGCAGAAAAATTAAAAATGTTTAATATTTTAATTGAATTAGCTTCTCTTAGACCTCTTAATTTGTTCTATTGATACAATATAAGTTATAATGACATTTACACTGCAGTGCACACACTCGCAGGCATGCACACGCATGGAGTGTATTTATTATAGAAGTGGTAGCCGTGTTGATGCTGTGCTGATAATCCCAGCTACCTAATTTCTGTACACTTTGAGTAAATTAGTAATGGATGTACCTGAAGTGCTCCTGTGTTCTTAGTCACCCGCAGATACAGACTGAGAGGCAATAAATGACCTCACTTATCATTCATCAGGATATGCCACGTCGTGCCGTCAACCTCGGCAGTGCTGAAGTTGGCGAGGTCATGAATTGCATTCCCGCATAATCCTTCCTGTGTTTCCCTGTGTTGCTATGGAAAACCCGAAGGTCCCAACCTTCAGCCGGTTAAATCTCTGCCTTTTCTCCACGATTTTCTTCTGAATAAACGTTTAACAGAAATGCCACAGTGGTTAAACGTGAGCCGGGGCTCCCTTCTGCTGATACGGCCGTCCCGAGGAAACCTTCAGATGCACGAAGTGCCTTTATTCCTTCAAAATGCAACCCCCCCCCCCCACCCTCCAAAAGATAATTGTGTCGACGATTATATTAAACAAGAAATTATTGACTTTAGGACCAGAGCTAGAATTAAAATTATTGACTTTAGATTTATTTTTGCGGATTTCTCTGATACCTTGTTGAGGCCAACACACAGAAATGTAACCGAAAATAATATAATAGAAATATTTCACCAGAATGAAATGGCTTTATGTGACTTGCCAATTATGGTGTCCGATGTGCTGTTATTCAATTTCCTTAGACAATACAGAAGGGGGAATGTGCAATTTATATAAAAATATCTTCCAGCCTGTGTTATCTTGAATTTGTTTCAGGATTGTGAATTACCTACAGAGTAAAAATTAAATTAAATAATGCAGTTTTGAATATATTATTATAACACAATTGAAATATGTTGAAAAGCATTTAATGTAATATAAAATAACGTATAAAAATCCCACTAAACAGCAGGGACTGAATCATCTTTCCTTTTTGCGAGTCACTTCTTCATTAGGTAGCCATTTGGAAAAAAACTCAGGCCATTTGTGTCGGCCGCAAAAGAAGAGAACGATGCCCTGTATCCGTCAGGTTCTGGGCCGCGTGGATCCGAGAATCGTCACGAGGACGATGGTCTTTCATGTTCGGCACGGATATGCAAAAGCGACAGATGAACAAACAAGCCCGGGTCATGCATAAACAGGCATAAACAGGCCGTTCCGCTCTTCAGGTCGAGCCCAGACTGGAGAAGGGGTCCCCTGTAGCATAAAAGCCGCTGCCAGACTGGATATGTAGCAGAAATTAGTTCGGACAGCGCCGAACATATTTACAATGTCAACGGAGCCCAGGAGATGCTCTGTGATGGTAAAGAAAAGAAAAATACACATTGTGAAATGAACACTAAGCGCCATAATGTGGTTCAGAATGGCGTAGCTCCGAGGATTCGTCAGCCCGGTAACGAATAAGGACATTTTTTACCTTAAAATACGATCATTTGTCAGGGACAGAGAAGAGAGGAGCTTCAACCGTCGTATCTGCGGCTCGGGCACAAGACAATGCTGAAGGGCATTAGCCTTGGCGGCGATGGCTGCCACTCTGTTCAGTCTTAATCTTCGGGGGCTGTCCAGTGGCGTTTGGGTGCATTCTCATGTGAGCCCGACACACAAAGGCAGGTTACAGGTCCGCGCCGCATTCGTCGTGCGTTGCTGGATTAGCGTGCAAACGCTGACAAGCAGGGGAACTTGATTAAACCACCACAAAAGGAGGAACACTCAGGCCTGGCATTAAATGGGCCAGACCCCTCGCTCTGCATTGGGAGTGTAAACCATCTTCCTCAGCTTGAAGATCTGGCTTGACAGCCCATAGGACTACAGATGTTTTGGTTTAGAAAGGCTTAAATTTATCAGAATCCTACAGTGCATTTTTATTTTATTTTATTTTATTTTATTCTATTCTATTGTTTTTTTTTTTTTTTTGCTTCCTCACACCCGCCTCGGTTTTTATCTCGCCATTTATGGCGTCTGACTAAAATAAATGAATATTTTAAAAAGGTGAGGCCGTGGTTATTACGCGGGAATTTTGCACCGTGCCAGTTATTAAATGTGCGAATCATTGTTTGATTGCAGGACCCGGGCCGAATAGGTTATATGAAGATTAGCGAGATGGATAACAATGCATAATTTAAATTTCACTCAGAAATGATTTGCGCTTTATAAATTTATAAACCTTGTTTTACCAATTTCAAGAGAAACACCTTGTTGAAATAGGACGTATAGCCCAAGGCTTCTGATACCAAAGGCCAAAAAAGTTTGTGTGAGAGAGAGCGATTGACAAAAACAAAAGGAAACGGCGAAATGGGTCAGCTAAAACTGATCTGAGGGCAGCATGGAACAGCTGAAAATAATAGAGGAGGATTATGGGCCACTGCTGGAAAGATGATGTCATCGTTTCGGGACAGTTACAGACTTTCAGGCAACAATAATGGGTTTGAATTTAATTTCTTCTGGGACTGGTACCGTCTTGGGTCTGCGATGGACTCTACAACCAGCTTTGGATTTGATTCCATTCCCATTCAAAATGGCTTTTTTTTTTTTTTAATTTAGCTGTATATTTTTTAAAATATATATTTGTTGAGGAGTTTTATCACAGTGGTCTATCTAAGAGTCCTCCCTGCCAAATGGCTGATTTATACAGTGACCGTCAACTTTATATTGCGACCTAATTTGGCAGTCACCGGCACGCACATGGAATTCAGTTTAAGGGCTCCGTGCTGACAGTTAACCCCATCCACTGGAGTCGCTCGTTTTAAGATGTTGAAATATGGGGGCCGAGGCCATGTTGTGAGCTCACGGTGTCTGCATAGTAAAGACGGAGCCCTTATTAGGGCAGTGTTTGGAAGGCCTTTCGCTTTACGGCCGAGTCCGGGATACACGGAGACTCCTGCCTGATCCACATGCACCGGAGACGAGGAGAGCAGGACCGGCCGGCCAGCGTGGGGCTTAATTAACAGCGGACCTTTAATAAGTCACTTTCTGTTAACCTTTAGCGCGCAAGGTCTTCAGGTTTGAGGCGTCCTCTGGAACGGAGGGAGGCAGTGCATAAACAAGGCGAGGGAACGGCTAAATGGGACTGTAGACATTATGCGGCTTGGTTATGAAATTGCTAACAATGAAGTGTCCTCTCTAATAAAAGCTCTCGTTCATTTTCAGGGGAATGCCATGAAACCTAGCGGGGAATTTAATTTTCTCTCTTCGGAAATAACTTTAGGATGGCGTTAAAACACTTGGGCCCTAATGAGCCTTAACCCTGTGATGAGAAGTATTTTTTTGGTTTTATTTTCAGATGTTTTCAAACGCCGATGCCGTGGAAACGTCCCTGCGAATCAGCTTCGTGGCAGATTCCAGCCTCCGTAGCCCCCCGCTGTTGGAAGCAGCTTCCTTAAGGCTTAAAAAAAAAAAAAAAAAAGACAGACAAAAAATATATATATTTTAAATGAATTATTATTACAAATATTGTGTAAATATAAGGCAAATTAAACCAGTAAATCACAGTTTTGCCGTGCAAAATAATTTAAATATCTTAATTAGGATGAAATACGGGACAGCTAAGTGATTAATCTAAATGATTTGAATAACTGGTTTGGCGATGTGAGTTTTTTTTGGTGAGGATTTTTCCAAAACACCTAAAAAAAAAAAACAAAAAAAACAGGGCATTTCAAATATGTTCTCCTTCCCTGCCTTATATGCCGTTCAGTGAATCATACAACTAATTATTACACCTTTTGTCCTGTGCAGAATAACAAATATTCCCCCATATGGAAATTCATTCTGATATGTCCTGCAGGCCCCCTGACCACAGAGGACCCCTCTGCTTTGGAGACGGAGATATCAGGCCCGACTTAAGATTCTGTGACCGTATGTGAGCTCCCACGCCCCCCCTTCCCCCACCTCTAGTGAGCGAAACTGTACAGTCTGCAGGTAAAAAGCACCACTGCTTAGAAGGTAATTTACAGCGGACCGTAAACGGGAATCGGCCCGCACGGATCAGTCCGGCTGTAAAGCACCGTCCGCCTTTTCGTTCCATCAGATCTGAACCATCAGGTGCAGTCTGTGTTTTCCCCAGAAAAAAAAATTACTGTTATCAGTTGTCTTAACCATCGCCTAGAAACCAGCCAACCAGCAATTTCCTGCTAACCCCTCTATAATTGCACAGGCTCAGAAAACATTTTAATTAATGTGGCTTTTTTTGTTGTCAAATGGGTCATCATTGGGCTTTTTCAGCGCAGAGCGTTGTCAGTTGATAGAGAGCGCAGGCGCGTCTACATGGTGGGAACCCAGGAATCATTTCGGGGGCGGGGGGGGGGAGGTGCAGTTGGCATCATAAAGCTGCCGCAGAGGGGGATGAGACGTCAGCCTCGGAAATAAGGAAAGCCACGTGTAGAAGAGGCTGAAATTATCGCAAACGAGCGGCGACGACTCTTCTTTGTTCCCTCCAAAAACGGAAAGGTGGGGTCCTTGCTTTACACTCTCACGCATTGCGGCCTGCCACCCAACACGGCCTGCCACCCAACACGGCCTGCCTCTCAGCTCCCGTGTTTGTTTATCACTCGCCTCCATTAGCATCGATCCCAGCGACGCCTCTGAGCTCTTCGGACGAAGCGAGCAACGTGGCTGATAAGCGGCTGCCTTTGTTTCCAGCCATGCGGTCTCTGGGATGCGCCAGCAGCCATGCGCTCCGAGGAATCCTCCGCTTTCCTTTTATGGTGTATTTTTGCACGCCAATTACCAGGAAAATGGTGGCGCTGAACCCGGTGTCCAATCCTGGTACCTTTTCTTTGCGGGCTTGCTTTGCATAAGGGAGGATATCTTAACTGTCTCTGACAACGATGACGGTACACGCAAAAAGCCGAAATATCTGTGTCCAGGAAGATAACATCTGCAAAACATTTTTTAAATACAAATTTGTTACTCCAATATTTTATTTTTGCCCACTAAATGAATAAATATGTAATGACAGCCCTTTCATTCTGAATCTTGCTCATTTGAACAAAATGTTTACCCAGAAAGCGCTAATTATGATTTGTTCATCCTGAGTTGTGAGATCTTGCTCAGATGACAAAATAATTGATATAACAGGGAGGCTGAAACCAGTGCTGTGTGGTGAGGCAAACAGGCCCCGAACACCAGGGGGCGCCACCCTGCCTCTCACGACCCCATAGTGTAGTGTGCAGTCTGCCTGTTTCTGAGGCGACCACCAAAGTGTCACCCAAAGAGCTTTCAGTCATGATGACTAAAAAATAAAATAAATTTCAAAATATCAAAGCTGGGTGTCCGGTGGTGTGAGGGTGAGGTTCGGCAAACGGTATGTCACGCAGGGAGGGGGGAACGAAAGCCACCCAGCGGTCGCTGTTCCCACGCAGCACCGACAACCTGTTTGGGATGATACCCCCCCTATTCGCCCTCAAAACTCACCGGGGTAAGTAGCAGCCCTCTGACATGCTGTCACACCCCCACAGCCAGCTGTTCTCTCAGCCGATTCTGACAAGCCTTCCACGAGGCTGACGGAAACCCCCCCGGCTCCTGGTTTTAATACTCGATCAACACGAGCAGCCTGCCTCTCCACGGCGAAGCTAATTACCGAAACAGCCGGGAGGATGATTACCTTTGATCTTTCGCCCGGCGGCCGAAAAAACAAAAGGTCTCCGGGAATCACTTTCGCGGTACGTTCTCATGTTCGCAGTGACGTGACGTCAAGGCAGGAAGAGGCAAGGGGAAAAAAACGCAGAGCCCTCTATAGGTTTGGAGGTGAAAATGGCGAACAAAATTCCACCGCTAGCCAGACAGACGAATCTGGAGAGTAGATTCCCTAGGAAAAATCACCAGGCAGGGATAATATTGCCCACGCAGCGCACTGCCTTCTTGTGAAATATTACAGACATGTCCCCTGATAATCTGAGAAGGGAAGTGAAGGTTCTGGATCTCAGTAGGGGGCAGGGACAGAAAGCAGGTTTTTAATCGCTGTTACTGGGCCAGGGCACTGCGTGCGTGCCTACACTGGTGAGGAAAGACGGCACGCTAGAGCAAAAGTCCTTTGACATTCCCGCTTGACAGAAGTGCCCATTTGCTACAAAGGCGTTTAGAACAAAAATAACTATCACCAGTAATTGGTGTTTACCTCAATCGAAACTGTTTACGCATCGTCAGAGCTCATCAGCGGTTGTAGGCGTCGGAATAACGGAGTGACTCAAGTGGCCTACTGACGCCGAACATTACAGACCCGTGATGAGCTGGCTTGGGGGTCAGAGACCTGGGAAAACTTCAAACGAGAGGGGGGGAGGTGTTAGACCTGGCCGTTGTTTGGCAATGCAGGGTATCGGCGGGGTGGGGGGAATATGCTACATGAAGGCTACTCCTCTCGACCGAGAGTCAGTTTCGCGAAAGCCCAAGGGCTGTCAGGGCTTGGGAGTCAGGAGGTGGATCATGTGTTTGGAGACAAATTCGTTGAGATGCACTCAGCACCTGCTACTGTTGCTAATCTGCGTATTGGGGTAGCGGTGTCTCAGGGGGGGTGGCAGGGGGGTGGTGGTAGTTGAAGGATTGTCATGCCACGGAGAGCACCGAGCCTAACAAAAGCCTTTTTTTTTCCGGAGAGAGCCATGCAAAATTTGGCAAGGAGAAATGAATGGTACTGCTTTTGACAAAACCCAGCCTGTCGTTTTGACAGCAAATTATCTTGTAGGCATGTCCCTGGAAGAATGCTGCACCCAGTTATAATCAGATCACGCGGGCATATGGTAGTCGGGAAGCCCGAGAAGTATCCGGCACTGGTGCTGGTGGCAAATATTTAAAAAAGTTTGTGTATATCTCCAAAAAAAATTGCAAATATTTAAAAAACCGTTCGCCCACCGTGGCTTTCCCCTGAGACAATTCGGAGCACAGCCTGGTGCTGTCTGGCCCGGTCGTCCCGAGCCACTGGGAACGTTCCGGGGGAAATTTGAGTAATAAGGTAAGCAGCAGTGGTGTTCTGTGCATCGTCAGCACTCGTGTCAGGATCCTCTCCTTTCCCGTGTCATGCCGAATAGTGCCGTAAGGAATTATTTTTAGTGGGGGGGTAGAATTTGGCTTGAAAATTTGCTGATGAATAATCCGTTAAAAAGTGTTTGGAAATTGACACCAACCTCCATATTTCTTGAGGAACTAAAAAAACCTCAATTTTTTGGTGAAAATTATTCCCCAGACACAGCGTGTTTGTGTCACTATTGTTTAAGATAAACACATTTGACCTGCAGTTTGACTTTATGTATAGATATATGAAGTTAACTTAATATCACAGAGCATAAAACAATAGTAAACACAGTGTGTATCGATTACACGGCATCCAATCTCGTATACGTCTACACTTTTAAACTGATTCTGCATGTGTGAGAGAGGATATGAATTTATAATACGCTAATATACGTTATAATCAAAGCATTATTTATTTAGAGTGGTTCATTTCGTTCTCTGCTGCCGGGCATTACAATCACCAGCCATTGAATGTGGCGGCATGCTAATTTCCATCGGGTATGTACTTAAAAGCACCAGAAGTCATTTTTTTCTGGGACATGTCTTCGTGTTTTACAGTGTGTAGGAGTTCCTGAATCAGTAAAGAGACTTACAATAGCTTGAAATGTTCTTTTCCCATTACTCAAATAACAACTTATAGATTAAAAAGGGAGGAAAAAAAAAAATAAAATAAAAAAATATATATATATATTTATATAATATAATATATAAAAAATTTCCCCAGCTGGGGAGTCTCGTCTCAGACAGCAATGTCATCCTCTTATATGGACTCCCTGAGTCACTCTCCGCCAGGATCCTCACCCTCCTCTAACACAGAGTCCCTGAGTCACTCTCCGCCAGGATCCTCACCCTCCTCTAACACAGAGTCCCTGAGTCACTCTCCGCCAGGATCCTCACCCTCTTCTAACACAAGTGTCCCTGAGTCACTCTCCGCCAGGATCCTCATCCTCCTCTAACACAGAGTCCCTGAGTCACTCTCCGCCAGGATCCTCATCCTCCTTGTCCCTGAACAGCCACTGGAGAGGAATTAAATGAGGGGGGCACCCAGGAAATGAGTGGTTTTGTTTGCCAGACGATGTGTATGGGGGGCTCATATCCAAATAAAGCATTGGGGGTAAACCTGCCACCCCTGCCCTGCATCCTGCCCCCCCCATCCGGCGCAGTGTGCTTGTTGGTGCTCTGTGCTCATCCCAGCGTGATACTGTACATGATTCTCGGCAGGAGGTATCGATCCCTGTCTAATCCCATCAGCCATTTTCGTACTTTTCTTAAAACTTCTCTTCCGTCGGGGGTTAATTCTTATCTGTTCTGGAACTCAGGTCTGGGTTTTGTCTTGTGACCTGAAGGCCACTAGAACCCAGCGTCTGATTTTCCATTTAAATGAAGGAAATGCACTCACTGCATTAGGGTCACATAATCAGCCAGGCTTATCCCCATAATTAAAATATTCCTCTCAGACAACTTAAATGCTGCCAGTCACCAAATGCAAGATGCATCTCTTAAATATAATGGATTAAAAAATGCATATCATTAATTTTAGAAAACAAAAAAATTATCATTCTATGTTTTGTATTTTTTCTTTGTGGAATAAAAAAGCCAAATAATAAAAATAGTTTGAAGTAGTGCCCCCCCTCAGGGGAAATGGGCGGCAGATGCCTGAATGAATAAAATACTGCCTCGCATAAAAATAAAATATAAAATAAAAAAAAAAGTTTGTAATTGTGCTAAATAAAGTACACAGGAAATAGTATCCATTGCATGTATACAGCGTATAACTTCAGTGAGCGCTAACGTGCATGAAGAATTTAGACAAAGTGAAATTAAGTTTAGCTATAATATGACGTTACAAAATGGAATAAGTCTGTCTGACTGTGTCCAGCACACTCAGCTGTCACATTCCAGCACGCGGTTACCCAGGATGCTTTGCAGTCCTTATCGTCGTTTACATCAGCAAACGGAACAGGGATGACTGGGGCCTCTCATCCTGCTGGACCTGGAGGTGGGCGGGGTTCCCGCTGCACAAGGGTCAACTTGGTCGAGACCGCAAACACACACACACACACGCACGCACGCACGCACGCACGCACGCACACGCAGGCAGCGCTGATAAGAACCAGATGGTAGGCCTGAGCACCAGTGTGGGTAGGGTGCGCTTTGCCAGCCCAGGCTAAACATCGGCTCCCCGTTATCTCTGTCCAGCTAGCGCGATAGCGGAGCACTATTTTCAGACAGTGGCACTCTTCTTATCGCGTGATTAATCGCAGATGAGGCCAAGATTCTGCTCGCAGAGACTCTGCCACCTGGCTGGTGTTTCAGCGGTCGGACTCCTCCGTAGGTCTCACTTTGGATTTAGAGGGAAATGGACAAACAAAAGCCATATATTTGGCACGTCTGTCTGCTCGTCCACCAGACCTCTGTGTGTTTTTAGCAGGCCTTGCGATTCGAGTCCAGGTCGCTCACTGCTTGTTCGCTCTTGCGCAGTATTAGCACTAAGCTAATAAGCTAAGCTAATACATGCGTCTCTAACAGCGAGCGTCACACAGGGGCCTGAGCCACACGCTGCCGACAGACTCCCGGGCTGCTCTGCTCAGGTCGTGAGGTTAAAGAATAAACACGCACTCTACCTGAGCACCTGAGCTGTTTGCGTGAGAGCTTTAATGTTCAGTCAGCTGATGTGGAAGTCAGTAATCAGGTCCCTCTTTGAATAATAAGGTCTGTGTACGAGCCAAGGATGCTTTACCCATTAAAATAACACGGATCAGAATGGGAAATGGAAATACGTTACAGTACTGAATGTCTTTGTTCCGGGGGTTGAGCCAAATAAATGAATACTCAAGTTAGGTTCCCACTCCTCTGAATGGGAGGGGGTTGTTTTCTTTTAGGCTTTTCATTCAGGGGGAGGGGGCTTTGTGAAGTCTGCTCATTTTCCTTCGGTAAGGTCGCTTGACTTGACTCCCAAAGATGTGATCACACAATGTACAGCCCAGGAAGCGCCGCAGCTCTTCACAGACCTGGTGTCGGCTCGCGCAGAGCTTAGCGCCGGAAAGCCCGAGCCGCTAGCGCAGGATCTGCGTAGGCTTCTCCCGCTCGTGAAGTGCCGCGTTCGCCTGAGTGACCCGCGCCTGACCTTACCAGGCTCACGCTCCAATTCTGCGGCTGTTTGCGCCACGATGCTAAACGTTTCGACTGCTCAGCCTTCGGCAATGTCTCAGCTAAGGGTCCTGGGTTCACTCCTAAATACACATTTAGCCATTATTATGAGTCAAGGAGCTGTTCTCAGTCAACTGAAAGTCACCAAATACTTGGTCACAATTCTTACCTGAATGAGCGCCTGTGGATTCTGACCATATATACAAAATCAGTAAGTATGGCTACTATACATTTCCCTGATTTCTCTCTTTCACCCACAGTGTTCTCTAAAGTCATCATTATGTATATTAGATATAGAGAAATCAGCCGTCTTTTCATGAGGGGAGAATTTCATTCGAAGTATCTCATTACTTCCAGTTCATGCTCTTTGAACACATCCCCAAATGAGAGATCAACAGAATTAAGCTTCTTTTCACCATTTCGGCAGAACCAGAATCAACTGACTTTGTACCAGTATGAATGTGGCTCGGTTGTGCTAAGTAATATTACTTTATAAGCCGAATTACACAAGTTTCAGGATTTCATTTGATTTTTTTTTCCTAGTTTATG